GGGGGGGGTGTGCGGTGCAGAGATGGGGCAACGTGGGGCAGGGGAGGCACGTACGGCAGGGCTGGGAAGGTGGGGGGGGACACGCCACTCCCCCTCGTGTTACAAACCGCGGTCTCTGCTTAAAAAAAAAGAATCCGGGCTCAGTCTGGTTGGTCCCTGGGAACACAAGCTGGAGGCAGACCCCGAACAGTGAGGGTCAAAGTCTGTCAGCCCCCAGGACATTCACCCCCACCCCTCACACAACATTAACAACCTTCTGCTAACCAATCCCCAGAGTATTCCTCCGCCACTACCAGCACAACGTCCTTCTGTGCTACCAGCTGCAAGTCCAAAGGCCAGAATGGCCTATTCCTGACCCAGTTTTATTTCCCCCGCCTGCAACATCACAGCTGGATCCACCGCTCCACCCCTGCCGCCCCTCCCCCAGCCCCCCGCCCAGCTCATCTCTATGCGTCTGCCCCCCTCAGACCCGACCATTCCAACAAACCCCAACAGCCCCCTCCCCCCCCCCCGACCCCAAGTCTGTTTCCCTCCACCTGTCCTAACTCACACTGTGTCCCGATCACCGATTGCTCCAGGATCGCTGACCTACAGCTGCACCAGCTCAGGGTCACGATTCCCAAACTCCCACCCCCTCGTTTTCCAATCCCTCCTTTGCTCCCCCACACCCCTCTCTCTTTCTCCGACAGCTCCTCCAACGCCTGGAAACTACCCTCCGAAAGCTCAGTGCTTCTGGAACTCGAGCCTGCCCCGGTTTTGAATTGCTGCATTGAGCGCGCCTTCGGACCCTTGGCTCTGGAACTCCACCCCGCAGGAACACTCTCTCTCACCTCTCCGTCCTACCTTCTGGGAGTCAGTGCTCAGCTTTCAAAGCAAAGCTGTCTGAGACGCTTAATATAAAGGTGTGGCCAACATGACAGACAGGACACAGGAGCATGATCAGCATCCCATCCAGTTCCTTCGCCACCGACGCTCAGTACACACTGCTGCTACTATCTACAAGATGCACTGCAGAAATTCACCAAAGATCCTCAGACAGCACCTTCCAAACCCACGACCACTTCCATCCAGAAGGACAAGGGCAGCAGATACATGGGAACACCACCCCCTGCAAGTTGCCCCTCCGAGCCACTCACCATCCTGACTTGGAAATATATCACCTATTCCTTTACTGTGGCTGGGTCAAAATCCTGGAATTCCCTCCCTATGGACACCATGGGAAGCACAGGGTTCAAGAAGGCAACTATAGGGAAGATGTTGTGAAACTTGAAAGGGTTAAGAAAGGTTTACAAGGACGTTGCCAGGGTTGGAGGGTTTGATCTACAGGGACAGGCTGAATAGACTGGGGCTATTTTCCCTGGAGCGTTGGAGGCCGAGGGATGACCTTCGAGAGGTTTATAAAATCATGAGGGGGTGTGGATACGGTGAATAGCCAAGGTCTTTTCCCCAGGGTAGGGGTGTCGAAAACTAGAGGGCAGTGAGAGGGGGAGAGATTTAAAAGGGATCTAAGGGGTGACTTTTTCACGCAGAGGGTGGTGCGTGTATGGAATGAGAGGAAGTGGTGGAGGCTGGTACAATGACAACATTTAAAAGGCATTTGGATGGGTACATGAATAGGAAGGGTTTAGAGGGATATGGGCCAAATGCTGGCAAATGGGACCAGATTAATTTAGGATATCGGGGCAGCATAGACCAGCTGGGCCGAAGGGTCTGTTTCCGTGCCGTGTATCTCCGTGACCCACCGTCCCAGCCCCGTCAGGGACATGGCCGAGTTTGGACGGCACACCCTGGGAGGGCCGCGTTCCTGTGCACGGGAGACGACGAAAAGCCGGTCGCGAGCACGGCCGTACCTCGATGTCGGAGATGGCAGAGTTCAGGGCACACGACCAGTTGACCAGCCTCTGGCTGCGGTAGATCAGGCCGGCTTCGTACAGCCTCACAAACGCCTCCGTCACAGCCTCCGAGTAACCCTGTGAAGGGCAGCGGGGAGGGAAAAGAGGAGGAAGAGGGGACACTCAGGCTTCTGCCGCACACCATCAAGGGAGGAATCCCCCCACCCAAGGTGAGAACAAGTGACTTCATATACACACACGCACGCGTGCACACACACATGCGCACGCACACACACACATGCGCACGCACACACAGATACACAAACACGTACACACGCGTGTGCACACAAACGCGCACACACACACACTCTCTCGCGCATGCGCTCACTGTCACTGAGTCACACACATGCTCCACAAGTACAGGCATGTGGCTGCCAACGGAGGGACACACGCCAGCAGACTCTAAGAACATATCTCATTAATTCCACCCAGACCCTCGGCTCCTCCCGTCTCCCTGGATGAACACATCCGAGGAAAACCTCGAATCCTTCAGCTGGAAGCGGCCGCTCCCAAAGCATGCTCACAGGGAAGTGGGCCGGCTGTGGGACCTGGGGCAGTTCAGGGATCTGTGCGCGCGGGCTCAGGAATTCGGTAGGTGGGGGCCGGATGTTGGAGATGGCCATTCAGCCCATTGCTACGTGATCTAACAGCCCACTGTCACCTGACCGATCAAGTCCAAGGAGCTGTATCCACGGTGACTTACCGGGTCCATGGTGAAGCTGGCCCGCTCCCAGTCCAGTGAGGCCCCCAGACGCTGGAGCTGATGGTAGATCTCATCACCTTTCCTGCTCAAACCGCAAGCAGAGGGGAATGGAGGGTCAGTACCATTGTAAATACACCTATTTCTACAGGAGTTCTCCCATCCTCCGGATATCGCCCTGGGAGGCTCACAGTCAGCCTTCTACTAAATACCATCGCTGCCCACACATGTAACATCGCGGGGGCAGGCAACATTCAGACAGACTGACCCCACACACTGGGATATCACGGTGAGCTGCTCCCTCGTTGGAGGGATGTCAGTCACTGCATTCGTCAGCAACACAGCACTCCCTCAGCACCGATCCTCCGACAGTGCGGCACCCCCTCAGTACCGACACTCCGACAGTGCGGCGCTCCCTCAGCACCGACCCTCCGACAGTGCGGCATTCCCTCAGTACCGACCGTCCGACAGTGCGGCACTCCCTCAGTACCGACCCTCCGACAGTGCGGCACCCCCTCAGCACTGACCCTCCGACAGTGCGGCGCTCCCTCAGTACCGACCGTCCGACAGTGCGGCACTCCCTCAGTACCGACCCTC